GTTAAATATATCTTTATTAAGATATGCCAAACATATCACCAAAAGGGTTGACACCGTCAGAGCCATACTTAGTACACCAGGCTTAAATCCACACATCTAAAAGGTGTTTCTAAATAAAGCAGGAAATCCTTAGAAGTGTATAGCCAGAGGTTACATTGATATTTGATTACTTTATATGAATTATAGTGTAGAAATATCTCTGACAGTTTCCTGTACTATGGGTGATACATCTTATCTAAATATAGATACTATAAATATTTAAATTTGGAGGAGTTACTACATTGCATATCTGAATATGGATATAGATATTTAAATGAGTAGAAGGAGGAATAAGGGCAGCGGACCCCTTGCATGATATAAATATTTATGTTTGAATGAGAGGGTCCTCTTAGTTTCCAAATACTCTCACTGTGCATGTAAACTCGTAAATTCTGCGGTTATATTTGATCTTAAAAGGAGTGTTGAGTCCAACAAACTACCTGTATATTGGATAACTGAAAGCTATTCGGCACTGCTAATGGTAAGCAAACATAAATGACCTATAGGTGTGCATTCTATCGGTTTATGCATGGCTTAGAAGGACACGGGACACGAATAAAAGAGTAGAGAAATAGAATTCTACAGGTAGGTCAGCTGTGTATGTGGTATACTTTATATGGGCAGAATTTAAGTCTTGATTCACTGTTTCAAATATTTTCTTTGACAGAATACAGTTAATAGAATACTCTGAAGATGAAGAAATCAGCATCAGACTCAAGGACAAGGACAAGGACTGGGAACTTCATTAAAGAGTGAGAGGATTAATTAGATAATGATATACACTTTCTTCCTGAGATCTATACACCTTACTGTACATGTCGATATACACTTTCTCCCTGAGATCTATGCACCTTACTGTACATGTCGATATACACTTTCTCCCTGAGATCTGTACACCTGACTGTACATGTCGATATACACTTTCTCCCTGAGATCTATGCACCTTACTGTACATGTCGATATACACTTTCTCCCTGAGATCTATGCACCTTACTGTACATGTCGATATACACTTTCTCCCTGAGATCTATGCACCTTACTGTACATGTCGATATACACTTTCTCCCTGAGATCTGTACACCTGACTGTACATGTCGATATACACTTTCTCCCTGAGATCTGTACACCTGACTGTACATGTCGATATACACTTTCTCCCTGAGATCTATACACCTTACTGTACATGTCGATATACACTTTCTCCCTGAGATCTGTACACCTTACTGTACATGTCGATATACACTTTCTCCCTGAGATCTGTACCCCTTACTGTACATGTCGATATACACTTTCTCCCTGAGATCTGTACCCCTTACTGTACATGTCGATATACACTTTCTCCCTGAGATCTATGCACCTTACTGTACATGTCTTATGTGTATATGTTATTCACTGGACAACATATAGTTTACAATCTGGTGCGGCATGATATTTTCAAATGTCTTTTTATGTTTTTCCTCACTGGAACATCAGCAAAATGGAACTATAAGGGCTTAATAAATGGTAAAATTGACGAGAGTGAAAAGAATGAATTCTGGAAGCTGGCAAATTGTGGACAGAAATGTCAGGGATTTGTCATATGTCATTAAATCTTATCATTGTAACTGTTTAGACATCGCTAATAATTGTCCCTTCTGAAACTAAAAGTCATATTTAAAAGACCACGTTACAGACAAAGGTAAAACATGTTGGATGGTATTTTTGTATGTTTCTATTTAACATGCAATAATTAGAATGAACACCTACTATATCCATATATAGATATATCATTTTCTATACTTTATGTTTTCTGGTAGGTAAAGGTGTTGTTTTCAGGTGGATGCAGATATGAATGTCTACAATTACTTACATATATAATTCCATGTCCAACCACTGTAAGGCAACGAAAAATCGATGCTTGTTTGTCATTGTTAATCACACAGAGAAGTAAAAAAGATTATGTAAGAGTCGACCGGTTTCATTTACATGTAAATAATTTTTAATCTGCTATGAAACCAACATTTTAATTGGCCAGTTTTATATGTTGTTGTCGTTTTACATAAAACATGAACGTCAATTTGTAACGTTACGTTTGATTGGCTATGATGGAGTGTAAGTAATTGTATAGGATAAAAAGTCCATTATAGATATTTTTAAAATGCAATCTATGATTAACTGTAGTTAATTTCTTGTTATAAATCCATAACACAAAAATTGAGTGTATTTGCATAAACCACTGCACGGTTTATTAAAAGTACTCTCCGTTTTTTTTTTTTTATTGTTTTGTTATAACTCAGTAACGTAATGAGTAATAGATATAAGCTAAATCTAATTAGGGATGTGATGATTAGCTCAGTAATTGGAAAAAATGGACCGATACACTGACGCGTAGTACAAATTGCATTGGCTAGTGATCCAAAGAACAACTTGCCATGTCGGGTTGAATCCTTATCTGGACCTAACATTCTATAAATCCTTCATAACTATTTTACATTGTATAATTTCATATTTTCAGTATTGAAGGAGCCGTAATTAATGAAGATTTGGACGAAATTACACGTCTGGTGAAAGGAAATGAAGGAGACAGTTTCCTGATCGCATGTGCCTTTCACCAGTCTGTTGGACGAGGACTCAAGAATGTCGTCCGTCATTTTAATAAGCTCGGTGTTTCCATAGACACTCCGGACCCAGTTTTTCTGGAGACTCCTTTGATGCACGCTATAAGGAATTCCAAGGACGAGCTAGTCAAGTTCTTACTAAAAGAGGGAGCTGATGTTAACTATACAATCAGAAACAGCGGTCAAACACCTCTTCACGTTGCAGTCAGCAGTCCAAAAGAAACAGAGTTTTCCACGAAAATTCTCAGATATTTATTAACCGTCCATAATATTCGTCTGAACGTCTATAACAGTGAGGGAAGGACCCCCCTAATGATAGCCATTAAACACGGCCGTGATGAAGCCGTGGATGTTTTAACCAGTGCTGGGGCTAACGTTAATCTACGCATGCAACACTATGGCAGTACCACAGCGCATCTGTGTTTTGATATGTACAACCCTTGTCGTAACGCTGAGAGCGCAAAATGTTTACAATCCTTAATGAACTGTGGTTTGAGTCCCGATGTGGTACACAATGGTGAAACACCTATATTTCACACTATAAGGAAAAACAACATCCCTGCTCTCAAAGTCCTCATTGCTGCAAATTGTGATTTGAATGTAACAAGTACGACTTGGGGGGTCGAAAACATTGAACGAGAACCGAAGAAGGTCACCCCGATTGTCCTGGCCTACAAATTTCACAAGATGAGATCTGTGGAGTTATTAGTTGAGTCAGGCTGTCGTTGTCATCACCTAGGATGGCTTACTGACAGCAACAACACACCGGTCACCCTCAGGGAATGGTTTCATAACAAGATCACCAGTCCAAGGTCACTCAAGAATTTAACTAGAATCCAAATTCGTGATGCCATTGGACATGTCCCACATAAAAAAGTGGAACTTTTAGCTCTCCCTAAAAAACTGCAAGATTATATATTATTGAAGGACATTTTAAATTAACAATTGTTTACATATGATAAGCATTTATTTTCCTTCTCTGTGATACAAAGCGTGATGTTTCTATGTGAACACACATGGATCTACACGCCAGTTTGAGGATTCGTTCAAAATGGCTTTACTTTATAAACTTGGTAGTAAATCATACATTTTGTGTGTTTTGATCACGAGTAGATATGTTTAAAAGTGCACGTATACACATAGTCTTAAAGGGATGTTCAGCATATTTGGCACATTTCTGTTTTTTTTGGTACTTTTTAAGAATTCATTCTAATAATTTTTAAAACTATTGTTATCATCAAAATATTTTCATATTGTCAGTTTCACAGGCAAATTTGGTGGAAATACCGCTTGCCAATATAGAATTAGACTGTCTAAATATAGCACTTCGGGGAATCCGGGACTAGGTCACTGACTAGATCATAGATTTTATGTGAAGTATTGGTGAAATACCGGGTTTGTAAGCTGTACACTTATAATATAGCTACTGATGTCAGAATTCCAGTGCTTTGTTTGACCTTTTTTTGTCGATTTTAAAATATACACAAATATTTCACACTGTTAGACTTATCACAAGCAAACCTTGTGTGGCTCAATCATGATCAAGACAATTTTTGTAAATCGATCTAACTAGTTATATTTCTATAATTTTCACAAATTAAATATAGCATATCAAGATGGTGAACTGAGTCTAAAATTTCGACAGGAAAATACGTTAACCCTTTCGTGAATTTTATAGGAACATCATATGACATTAAATGTGTGCTGAATATCCCTTAAACACGAAGACATAAAATGCTGCCATTTAAATGACATTTAGACAATTTTGGTCTTCGTTCAACTAATTGTGATAACTCTTATCAAACCACAGCAGTATGTAGATACTAAACACTTCAGTACAATCAAATGGCATTTAACGCCTACAGTTGGTAGAGTTTTTGGTTTAATTACATACAAGCTTCAGGGAAGGAAAACCTATTGTCAGATTTTAGGAAGTTGTGCTCTAACTTTTGTAGCCAAGAATAAAATATACTCATGGTTTGTGTCGACCACTTCATGTTTGGTAAACTCTTCACGTACAGGGTATTTTTTCGATTTTTAAAAGTAGTTTTAAGTGGCACTTTCAACTGATGTCTTCCAACAGGGAATCTTACTAAGTATAGGGTAAGTGGTTTTTACTTACAGTAGTTACGTTACAATGCGAATTGCTTCACGTCCCAGAAGAAATCTTGGCACAATTCACAGCATTTGAAACATGTACATCATGTACGTTGAATTTTTTTTATTCGACAATGATATCACGCTTCTATGAAGTTACCAGTATTAGTTTCCAGGTTTACTTTTGTTTTTGGGAGTTTCCCTGTCATGTATAACCAAACATATTGATGTAAACAAATAAACAAAACCAGTTGTTTTAACTGTTTATTACATTTTATTTTCATCCTTTATAACATCGTCGTCTTTAATCCTATCAAACCTACTTCCATGACGAATGCCGACAACGTTCAGGCATAGACCAATAATCAAAACGAGAAGTCCACAAGCCAGTGCCTCGTACACGAAACACACGTGATCGATTGCGTCATAGATGTATCCCATAATGCTAACGCACGAGAAACCCCCACATCCTCCAGCAAGGCAGATAACGGTTATCCCCATTCCTGTAAGCTCAACGTGATAATCTGCCCAATATATTCCGGTTGGCCACATTGGTCCGAGGAACAGGCCAATCAGAAGTGAGAAGATCCAAAAGGATATTTCTGGTTCAAAGTTGAAGATGGTAACCACATTTAGTCCAAGTGCGCTAAGAAACACTCCGCATATTTCACATATCATCATAATCCTAATCGAAACAAATTTTCCGGTTGCAAATCCGATTAATCTGCCTAGAGAAAATGTTACCCAAAATCCAGTATTAACGAAACTGCCTTCGTCTTTAGTGAAATTTAATTCGTCAACTGCATATGTACGTATAAACTTGGTGTAAAATCGTTCGAACCCCACTGTGAAAAGAAAATAGAAGAAAACAAGTGAGAACAAAAGAAGGCCGAAACAACAATCACCGCCAGCACAAGTGGCCGGATTCAGCATGGCCTTGGAGTCACGTTTCTTAATGTTGGCTCCACGTTCGTCGTGAACTTGTGATAAAATACACTGGAAAATCATGAACACCAGCGCCAGTGCCATTGTTGGTATGGCTACTATTGCATAAGCATAATCCACCATGGAGCCCTCGAGGACCGGCGTAGAATACAGATCGGAGATCGTGCAGTTCGGGTCTGTCACATTGGTGATGGAGCTTGTCGAGTTGTCACAGTCTGGTAGATAGGACATCGTCGGCAAGAACGGGTTAGCTACAAGCGGTACAAGAAGACAACCAATCCCAAAACCTAGGTGAAGCATGTGCATTGGAGCCGAGGCTTTCTCCCGCCATAGATAGAGGATGGTAGTGTTGCCGGCTGAAACAAACCAAAATACACTTATATTGCTTACTGTCGCTAATGTCTTCGACACCGCACTTAACTAAGTCGAAATCTAAAACCGAACGCGCGCCACAGAATCAAGAATATTTTATTTGATGCCAATGAAGCTACGTTCAAATCGAAGCGTTAAATCGATACTCCGGTAAAATAGATAACTTTTCCTTAGGATTATTATAAAACTTAACATAATAAGCTTTTTAGTATACTTACCAACTCAAATTTACTATCTAGTTTAAGTTTCACATTGAAGACATATTAATGAGAAATCAATTTACTTGCAGCCACATCGATTTATATCAAGATAAAACTATCTTTCAATGCCATTTTCTAGCTTAGCTAAATGCTAATGAATGTGAAAATGGTGTTCATAAGGAGTTGCTTAAGGTGTATCATGTTTATTCCTAGTTTCCCATTCGATAATGAGAGGCCACGATAGCCAGGTCGGTTAGAGCGTTGTCCTTCGTGACCTCGGGTGAGTATCCAAGGTTCCTGGTTCAGTTCTCTCTGTGGCGGTGTGTGTTGTTTCTAGAGAAGTTGAGAAACGGGACACTCTGCACTGACGTGCCTGTGTCTTGCCTTGTGGGCGGTGAACGTTACCCCTGATGTTGTTTGGGATGACAGGCGATGGGCCTTCGGTGTGTTGTTAATCCAGGGAGTCTCAGTTTCCAACTCAACATGACCCTGGCTGTTCACGAGACAATAAACCAACAAACAAGGTAGTGTTCCGTTTGTTGTAACCGCAGAAAGTACTTGTTTTAAAACACAGAGAATGGATCTATCTTGATTATTCCGGGTATACGCGATAAAGTTCATAACTATTAATGTTTTGTGAAAAAACACGCAAATTCAAATGTATCTTTTCAAATTTGAAATGATAACAAAATGCGTCTATTTGTTGCCTGTCGATTACTGTAGTCCTGATATCTTTAAGAGATATAATTACTGCCGGTCTATAATGACCTTGCCTGTATTATACAAGTACATTGTATTTAGATATACACCCGATCCGCTATGATATTCAGAGCTTTGTGGCGATGAATACAAAGGTCCCGTGGAGCCATTCTAGACAGACTCGAGCGCGACTGTTGCTGCCAAACCTCATCCTTACTGCATGTGGTCGTTAAGTGCCTCCTTCTGTTTAAACGTTGTTTTCATTAAATCCGAACCCCATCAAAACAGAGATGAGAAATTCAATATAAAGACGGGAAAATGTTATATATTTGTATATACATACCTACGTTGACAATGAGCTCAGCTAAACCCTGGACCATAATCAGAGCTCCTGTCAGCAGCACCTGTTATACAGAGAAGCAATAGAAGATAGTAAGTGCCAGATGTGTGTAGTACAGTGAAACCTCGCTGTAAAGACCACATCAGGGACTGGACATAACGAGTTAGAGGAGATCCGAGATCTGAATAGCAAGTATAGTCATATTTGTCAGTATTTTCACAACTGAATTAGTTCGATAGGTTTTACAACATTTATATATACAGTAATTATATTCCTGAAAACAGTTTGAATACACACTGGGTAGTTTGGCCTCAGTGGTTAGCGAGATAAAATTCAATGCAAACTGGGATATTCTACTTTCTATTGTGATATGAATTTATATATAATTGATGTTCGTTAGCCTAGATACTAAATATCTTATTTTCTTAATTGTATTGACTAAGATTTACATGGCGAGTGTTCCTGATGAAGCAGAAAACGCTCACTCTTCCGGAACACAGTGTCTTATTCTCGTTATATTTTCATGGTCTCTTTGACTTCGATTCATTGATTGATTTTCGAAAGAAGATTTTGTTAGCATGTCAGTATATGTTTATTATTTACAACATTCAATAACGCAATTGAAGAAATCAAACTCTGTAATTAAACATTGAACTTCATAAAGTCTACAAATATTATACAAAAGACACAGTTACTCACCTTCGTAGAGAGTGGGACAGCCATGGTGGCGCCCGCCGCTGCAGTCAGACAGAAGCCTATGATCAGGTCACAGTACTGACCAAAACGGTCAATCAAAATACCCCCTATAATGGATCCACTGACGGCCCCGATACTGCGTCCGGACACTGCTTGTGATAAACTCTCGTAGTCGGAATCGGTCCGGTCTTTCAGATCCTGGAGCGTGGGTCCAATTATCTCGAGAAACATTCCCTATAAGTAATGTAATGTATATCAAATTTATATTAAATCATAAGTCTCACATCTCACACACAAGACTTTAAATGGATCGGCGGACATTTATATGAGTACAAACTGGAAAGCCGTAAGTAAGCCTTAGATTCCGACATTCTCGTATATTTGAACATGTTTGCATGTTCCGTTTGCACATTTAAGCTACTCACCATACATATCCATGTCAGAAATAACATGAAAGTTCGTATCCGTCGCGTCCGTCGAAATGTTGGCAGTGACTCTTGTGTCTCCATTTTGTTTTTATCTGTCAGTCGTTTTGCTTCTTGTAGAAAACAATTGCGTCATTTTTCACTTCTTGGCAGCCATGTTTGATATTTTACATTTATGACGTAACTAATGACGTCATAAGTAAACACTCCCAGGAAGGCCCTTGTAACATTTTGGCAGATGAGAAATAGAACGGTGTATAAGTTTTAACCCCAGTCTTTACATAGCTGACAGAGGTATGACGGTATTCATAATTATGTAAAAGTTAATAATGTGTAAAACATTTGAATATGAACGTGGGTTTAAACAGGTGAAATCGGAACGCATCAGACTATTGCGACTCAGCCGGAGCACGTATATCTAGAATACTACCCGTTCCTGGGCGCCATCCCTAATAGTGGAAAAAGTAAAGGTCAGACGCGTGTATATTTATTTATCTAATTTTTCTCCTTAATAAGAGGTAAGTGTCAACTTTTACACGAAATTTACTTTATATTTTCATCAAATATGTTTTCTAGATTTGAAGCCTTACAGTCATTCATTCATTGGGAATAGACGACGGACATTAGTGTCGTAACGATAGAACAATTAACCCGTTCTCAATGTCAAGGAATCCTCGAGTCAAAGTGCAGCAAAATAAAAACAATTATCTCATATCGTATCACACGATAACACAAAGTACGATATAGAATCAGAGACTAGATTTTTAATTTGACTGATTCATAACATCATAACATAATATATGGTAGGAGGAACCAAGGTTGTCGTCAGTGAGTTCAGTTGATCTTAGATATGGAGACCTTGGCGTTTAGAGACGTGACTTAAGTGATGACCACGTTCAGTCATCAAGAACTGAAGGCTGTATTAAAATGAGAGTGTCATCCTAAGATATATAACCCATCAAGAATAACTGTATACTTCTCGATGTATTTTATCCTAAAATTGTTGGGGGAAAAAACCCCTAATTTTTTTAGTTTAGAAACTATATGGATGTTTAAAAAACTCGCGTTGTGTCGGACTACTCTGTGTTAAGTCTTATTTTACCTTCGGAATAACAACAATTATTACTTAAATAAATGTACATAATTCATAAGGACCGACCGCACTAAAAATACCGGAGTCGGAATTGGACAAGCATCTCTAATATACTGTTGAGACAACTATACAATCAAATTCGTTTGAACCACATTTCAAGGTTATCAATGTACATGCAGACCTCAAACTACTGCTTTACCTCCGGGTACATGAACGCAGTGCATATTTGTTCTAGACTTCTCTTTATTAGATATATACATATTTCTCATCAGAATGAGGCTCAAGTAGTGAAATCTTGCAGTTTTGTGTACTTCCTTATCATTATTAAGGGTAGTGACATTTGAATAAAACTATCTGTCCTATGTGCAGGTTATGAGGTACTTCCCAATAGACGGTGGGTACATGTACGTCTTGAATAGACAGACAATATGATATGAGAATCAGACCTTTAGCAAAGTTTTATGATATTTCATTACTTGTTTTCGTTGGTAGAACGTAGGCAAGTTAAGTCTGGCTGGAGACCAGGTACCGCATTACATTTATACATTATTCGGAATCCCTCTAAAATCGATTTAGTCTAGATGATCCGAACGGAGAACTATTGCTACAGCGGCTAATTTGTTAGTGAGTCACATACACGTGAATTGAGCGCCCACACGTGTGTAACTCTCATGTGACGAGGTGTATCGCTCGTAACACAAACCGGAAGTGTCAATGGGAATCAGCTGTTTGTGAGGGAATTGTGTGGATACGGTTGTCCACCAGGAGGTACGTATTAACGCCAGCTGACCAAGCCTCATAAGGCATCAGACATCAGATATTATAATAACCAGACATCTACACCCTGTGTAAGGTAGGTAAACACACAGTTGTTTTACCCAAGTCAATGGTCGCTATCTACAAGTAGGAAAAAAATTATCCTGTACAGCTTTATACAGGTCACGGACTCCTGACTTCTATGTGTTGTATATAATGGTATCGGTACAATATATAGCGACACTCACACACGTACGATGGCTTTGTATTATAGTCCTGTATACACACACATACGCCATTCAGTCTACACTACACGCAGTCGCTAATACAATTTACATGTCTTATAAATAACAAGCTGTGGACAGAGTTACTTGTAACGGTTTTGTAGCTAGTATTAATATCACTTAGAAAATTACATAGTATTTGGATTTAGCGGTATACACTACCACAATGTAATGGTGTACCCCTACCACAATGTAGTGGTATACACTACCACAATGTAGTGGTGTACCCCTACCACAATGTAGTGGTATACACTACCGCAATGTAATGGTATACACTACCACAATGTAGTGGTGTACCCCTACCACAATATAGTGGTATACTACCACAATTTAGTGGTATACACTACCACAATATAGTTGTATGTCCGACCACAATTTTATGATATGACCTTTACGTTGTTATTCCATGAGTCAGTTTTATCTTCCTATGTTTAGCAAAGTCGTTAAAATGAAAATTACATCATATATCTCGTTTGAAATTCTGTAAGGTTTCGACAGTTTAAGATAGGTCACAGGCTAAAACTCGGAAGGTAAGACATTGTAACGAAAGTTTGTATATATTTATATATATATGTTTACTTCTTTATCAAATAAATGTACATATTACATCACTTTAACCAATCTATCTTTAACAGAAACCACTGACGTCATGAATTCGAACACAACCACGTTGCCCATCAACGGCACGACGTTGAACCCTGCGAGTGATGACGTCATAGCTCCCCATTGGGGGTATATCTCCGCGGCTGCAGCTGTCATAATTTTAGGAAATGTTGTGGTGCCAATCAAACGATTCGAAACTGGTGATGGTAAGTTAAGGAAATATTATTGATATCGGGTGTAGTCGGTATTGATTTAACTCAGTCAAGGACTGACATTCTGAAACAAAATCTCTTTCTCAGCTTCGTATCTCCAGACATGTTACAGAATGTCAGGTCGAGATTGAGATAAAGCAATCGATAATATAACACGTGAAGAATTCTTTGTCTATGGCAACACAATCCTGGTCTCTGATTGGTTAAAATTTAAATATCCGAATTGGACCAAATATGGTATAAACGGGATTGAAATCTCATGCGTTGCCATTTAAACCACGCTAAAGCAAAACATGGCCTCTGATTGGTTAAGATTTAGATATTGCCCGATTTTGACCAAATTTGATTTATAGGTGCCACAGGGGATTACCTAACATCACTATATATGATTCAAAGTGTGGTCTCTTATTTGTGTGGAATTTCGATATTGTCTGATGTTTATTGAATTTTGTATAATGAGGTACAATATTAAGGGATGCAAAAATAATTTTCAACAATTTGTTTTACCAAATTTATTATAAAGATGTTTTTGTTTCTGCGAGAGGTATTAGTCGTCCTGAGAATGACAGTTTCTTTCTCAAATTTTTTGTCCCATATCTAATCTTGTAAAATGATGCTGTACGATTGTAGCGATGTAAGATTCGTCCAATTTGACATTTAGCTATTTTTTTTTCTAAAATTGACAAAGGCTGGATAGTATGTACACTATATCCTTTGTATAACAGAATCAAACCTATTTGATGATATCTTTTTATTTACCAGGTTTATATTTTCAACTCATGTTTTGTCACGGAGCCCTCTTCGTTGGCGCCATCGTACAGCTGTTTCGAAGCCAAGCTGAATTCTATCCCATCGTCATGCTTGGCGGTGTGGTATGGATAACGGGTAAGTCACGTGATTCAATTACACAAATATTATCAAGTCGTACATTTTATACACATATATAACTTATAATTCCTTTACTAATACATTACACAGCTACACTGTATTCACTAAGACATGGCACAGCTACACTGTATTCACTAATACATTACACAGCTACACTGTATTCACTAACACATGGCACAGCTACACTGTATTCACTAACACATGACATAGCTACATTGTATTCACTAATACATTACACAGCTACACTGTATTCACTAACACATGGCACAGCTACACTGTATTCACTAACATATGACACAGCTACACTGTATTCACTAAGACATGTCACAGCTACACTGTATTCACTAATACATTACACAGCTACACTGTATTCACTAACACATGACACAGCTACACTGTATTCACTAACACATGACACAGCTACATTGTATTCACTAATACATTACACAGCTACACTGTATTCACTTACACATGACACAGCTACACTGTATTCACTAACACATGACACAGCTACACTGTATTCACTAACACATGACACAGCTACATGGTATTCACTAACACTTGACACAGCTAGACTGTATTCACTAACACATAACACAGCTACACTGTATTCATTAACACATGACACAGCTGCATTGTATTCACTAATACATTACACAGCTACACTGTATTCACTAACACATGACACAGCTACACTGTATTCACTAACACATGACACAGCTACATTGTATTCACTAACACATGACACAGCTACATGGTATTCACTAATACATTACACAGCTACACTGTATTCACTAACACATGACACAGCTACATGGTATTCACTAATACATTACACAGCTACATTGTATTCACTAACACATGACACAGCTACACTGTATTCACTAACACATGACACAGCTAGACTGTATTCACTAACACATGACACAGCTACATGGTATTCACTAACACTTGACACAGCTACACTGTATTCACTAACACATTACACAGCTACACTGTATTCACTAACACATGACACAGCTACACTGTATATTGATTTTCACTCATATGTAAAATCTACCACTCTACCTACATATCATTAAAATATCTGTTAATATTTGTGATCGAGAATCTTTTCCCATCTATTCTTTCCGCTTCGTTTCGTAACGTCTAAAAATATCGTCTAAATGAAGGGAAATAACTCCTCTTATCTTACATTCTTTTGTTCGCTTGTTTTTGTTGTTGTTGTTGTTGCTTTTGTCTTCTGTTTCGTGTATGATATACAAACTCATTAATGATAAAATGTTTTAATCAATATTAACAAATGTACTCACTTATCAGTGTATTAATACCCTTTACATAAAAATATTATGACACTCTCGTAATATGACCAAGCAGAGCTATGATTGGTTATAAGTTTCGATAGATTCCATCTTGTGTCATACTTCATTATCCATAATGTATAACATGTCTGGAAAAACGGTGTGTGTTGGAGTTTGAATGAGAATATCGCAAGTTAGATTTCATATCAGTGAAATAAACTGCCATTTCCAAAAGGCTCGCGGCAACAAATTAACGAACTCGTGTAAGTTAATCTATCAGAATCCACTTGTAAAATGATACCGATTTTATTATAGATTATCGTCGTATTTCCCGCTTGAATATCATTACAAAAATAATGGCAAGATATATATATATACAAGTGTGCTTACAATCTTCATTGTCGGCCACGACGATCGGCTGTCAAGCTTATCGATGTATCAAAGGAAACGAAGGGCAGTAACTCTTGGAGATCTAGCTTTGTAAAAAAAACAACCGGAATTTCGCCTTGGCGAATCAACAATTAATGAATTTTGGTTTCTAAGAAATCAAGACCGGTGGTTCTCAAGGTTCCATCCCGGGGCCGCTTGTGTTTCTATTTGTACCAACGACATTTTAGTGATACTGCCTCTGTTATCAAGCTCTTTGCTGATGATTCTGTAATTTATGTTTGTATAAACACTAGTAGTAAGGTTAAATACCTCTTTCATTGTCACAGATTACGTTTCTGTTCCAGTGTAATTGTTCATATATAGGTTACTTGTTTCATTAGAAAAGTATTTTATCTGAGGAGAAAGATTATGCTATGTACATTAGTACTTGTTTCGGTATTATCCTTTGCTGAGATGTATATCATCGTATCATTATGGTCAGGGATCATTGAATTTTATGAACTTGCCGAGTAGTCCTGCTTTAAGGAAAGTATGAAGTAATTGGTACTTACTTGTTATATTTGTTTTTCAGCCAATCTATTCATGGTGCCTATCGTGAAAGCCATAGGCATGGCACAAGGGATGTGTGTGTGGGGGATCTGTAATATGCTGAGTGGCTGGGCTACGGGCAGGTAAGTAAGGCATCGTACAGAGAGTTCGATAACTTTGACTGACGGACAGTGTGGTTAGTAAGACTTCACGGCTGCTGACAGTCTAGCCCGAATACTTTTACTTCAATTTTTTCAGAGTTTACCGTTTGTTGACTTCAGGAACATTTATGCCCCTTTCCGTTTAGATTTTGACGTTTCCTTTCCATCACTTGTCGCCTCCGAGGCTTCAAAATTTAGGCCCTCAGCACCATTAACGAGTCTCAGAAGGACGAACCAGCTGTATGATGCAGTTTGATACATTGTTTAGCTCAAGTGTATCTACCTCTAAATTTGTATCAAAATGTACTATTGTGTCTTTTGTACAATCTGTTAGAAGTGATAGTCTATCGGGTTTAATGGTCATTATGTCTCTGTGATAAACGATTTCTGTACCCGAAGTCCAGTCATACGCATTGTCTTTTATCCTAACTAAATGATTTTCTATAGTTCAAATTTTAGAAATATTGGTTGGCTTAAGATATGACGTTATGTGATCTAGTAGAGTATTAGTGGTCAACGGTATGTAATTTTTTGGTTTGAAGGGTGATTAAACAAGATAATAGTAATCACAAATATGTCTGCTAAATTGTTGTGAAAATACCACTTTTATTTTCATATCTTTTGAATTCTAAAAGAAGTCTACTGCACAATCTTTACCCTATTTCTATGATTAGGCAGCAAATGTTATTATCAGCATAAAGATATTTTAGTATAAAGAATTTATTGGAACTTCAAACCTCCAATGTTTTTATACAGAAATCGGAAAATCTGAAGCTGTAATAGGTCTGTGAAATTCAGCAAACGTACAGAACCAGCAGTATTTTATAGTTTTCTGAAATAATACGGTATTCCTACAGTAGTTTCAGATTGTTGTCAATTAGTGATGCTTCAAAATACAATATAAAAGTTTTTGCTGAAGACAATGAAATATTTTAATCTGATGTAAGATTTCCAGCGTTTTCATTCTTCATTAACAGGTTCGGGTTGTTTGGTATACAGAAGGAGGAACCTGATTCTATCCTACTAAACTATGTTGGTGTCCTGTTCTGTATAATAAGGTAACTTAATTATAATGCATTACTCCATAATTCAAATTTTATCAAAAATATACTTCGATTACTGAACGTATATGCATGTTCAAAAAGTTAATAAATTAATATTTATTTACATGATGACAAGTATGTTCCCTTATGATTAATCGTTTATTTGAATTAATATAAATATTTCACATTGCCAAAATATTTATGTTTTCATTGCAGTGCTGTGATATTTTCATTCCTGAAACCAGACATTCGCAAGGTTAAAGAACAAATACAGACAACCTTCCCAACTAACCCTTCTGGGCACTACAACAGTATTGATGTAAATATAAAATTACCTAATTAAGTATGAAAAAATACACCTTATTTTACATACAGTAATATGTATTATTGTTAAGTATCAGATTTTGAATTCTCGGGCATTTGGTGTGAGCATGATGTTAGTTTTTCAAAATGTATTTGCCAATAGATCTGTGAGTGCTACATCTGTATGTGTATCCAACAATGCATCATATATCTTTAATTATATTGTGCTAATGCCTCATTAATAGGATGACGTTTATCATTATAGCCTATAAACAGCGCAGCGACACCTAGATCTCTGTCGGAAGAGAGCTTGTTGATAACGCCAACCATCAAACACACGGAGGAAGTGAAAATCTTTATTGATAAATTGCCTCCAACCAAGAAAAAAATTATGTGAGTACAACGTTATGCACATGATAAGGAAATAAGGCAAAAGGAATTAGCAAGGAAACGATAGTTTAATTCACGGTTGGTACTGTATTTGAAGTGGTGTATGCCTGACAGGAGATAGTAAATTTAGCTGATAAGACAAGGAGGAAATTAACAAGAAATTATTAAGTTGGCGAAATCAGAATGAACGACGAAATGGTATCAAAACATGAATTAAAAATATTGACCATATTCACTGTAAAAAGTTGGATAAAAATAAAACCAGGTATTCCGGAAGTGCACATATCTTCTGCTTTATCGACGACACCCGGCATATAAATATTGGTCGATCCAAGTAAGTAATGTCACGTTCTGAAATGAAACTAAGATAAAGGCTTACTAAAGGGCAACATTTCAGTTCATATCGCACAAGAAAATTGACTATTTCCTTATGACATCATAAAGACGGCGGTAATCTTTATTATCTCGAGACCCTTACCATCATCTTCATTATCTTGAACTCCTGTGTTAAATGTTTATCCATCAGCCTTCGAATGCTATCTATGCTATCACGGATGTCGTGATATTGGGAACCAATCTATTTAATATAGAATACTCGCGAAGTATAAACATTATAAGCTGGGGTAGCAGGCGTGTTATTACATAGAAATGGAAAATTCATAATAGGCAAATCGAATCATTAAGTGTAACATACAATTTGGTGGGAAGCCGTTCCAGCAGATTTCGCTATAGAATGATATAAAGGTAAGGGACTGATGAAGAAGAATCTGTCACTTCTCTGATTTCAAATTCTGGTGGTTACATATACGAAAAGTACCATGGATATGGCCAGCAAATGCCTTTTTGTTTTGGTGTGTGTATCTCTATCACTCATTAATACCAACGAAGTCTATAGTCAGTTTATAGAAGGTCTTAGTCAATTGCAGCTCTGTTAATTATTCTTCATTTTTGTATATGATTTAAACTGTTTGAAAAAACATGTTCAATGCTATGTTACTGAATCATGGAATCTGTTACAGAGGCATTGCCATGTCTGTGGTGTCGGGAGTATTGTACGGTCAGACATACACTCCGTCCATCTACATACAGCAGTCACGTAAAGGCTCCAGCCAGTTTGGTAAGTATAAACCAACTTGTCAAATCGATTTCACCCATAAGATTCACATCATAGAGAATAGTATTGGTTAAAGCTTTGTAAGCACTGCCTTGAGTTAAAAATCTTTTTTCATGGAGATTTCAAGAAGGGCTTTCAGATCATGAAGATAATTATCAGGATTTTTAAATGTTCTCAGTAAAACGATACGCATAAACAGCTAGATATATTCGAAATCACACTTACATTCAAAGACACCGAACAATGTTCCGGTGTCCGAGTTACCGGATTTCTAGTAAAATTATGCCTTTGTAATTTGGCAATATGTGAATGCTTAATAGTTAAAACTCATTATTGGCTTACCTCTTCTGTACTTCAGCGGTAACTCATGGATGTCACACCTTCTTCATTAGTTCATTTAGTGCAGCATGTATTACATCTTCATTAGTTCATTTAGTGCATTATAGATTAGTACACCTCTCAATCTCTATCATGACACTTCTTTGGATCGATAAGGAATTTCTTCAGTCGCCTCTTAGATTTCAATATTTAAGCCCTTAGCATCTCTGTTGAATCCTAAAGGACGAAACTGTTGTAAAATGTAGTTCAATTCGTTATGTGGTATCTAATTCTAACGTTGTATTGGAAAGTGATTTTCATTTGTCTTTTGTATAATCTGCCATAGGTTATACATTGCACTAGAATCTGTACGTCATATTTCACATACCTTTATTTCTGAACTTAGCTATTCACTTGGACATCTTTGAAATAATTTAACATTTTAACCTAATATGCAGGATTTAGTTAGTTTTATCAACAAATTAGATTAAACCTATATGTAATGTGTCGGCTGATGCACAGTAATATACAAAACTCTTTGTAAAACAGGCCAATTTGCAAGCTTTATTTTACCACAAACATTGTAAACCTATCATCGTGAGACCAAACTAAGAAGTCTTTAATATCTTTATATATTTCTTCTATTACCTATGCTGATTTCCATAATTTCATCATTGTTGAGTATTTCTAAATAAGGTCTTCACGTTTAATTTTCAGTTGACTGATTTCCGTTTAAATAGCCACAAATATCGCAATGGGACTTTTAACTAAAATAAGCTTAGCTATTATCGTGTACACACTAATGTATTGGCCTACAAGTGATTGATTTGTATTTCACACTACTGTTAAAACTTCTGGATGATCGATAGTTTAGAGAAGACTGTCGAATAGTAATATTAAGCTATAGATGTTCATGAAGTTCTTTGTCTTTGAGTACATGGTAGTTAGTTGTCAACACCTGACGTTCTTATCTTGTTAATATGCAATTGCGCCCGGAAGATATGTTGTTTATGATTGGTAACGTCTACTGGCTAAAAAAGGAAAGGTAGGGGGAGATAACCTCATTCTCAGAATGGACTTTAGCGCTTATTATAACTATCTGAATGTTTATGATCTTGACAGGAATGGACTACGCCTTTGCCACGATGTGCGGACTATTTGTAGGAAATACAGTTTACTTCTCTATATACTGTTTTGTGATGAGAAATATACCTCGGGTCTATCCTCGAGCAAGCTTCCCGGGCCTACTAACCGGACTCTTGTGGGGAACAGCCAGTTCTCTCTGGTTTCTAGTCAACGACACGCTGTCAGAAGATGTCTCCTTCCCGATTATGACTACTGTGCCGATCGTTATCAACGCCACAGTGGGCGTCGTCTTCTTCCGGGAAATCAAGGTAAGACAAAAAGCGAACTGTTTCACAAAGTCTGATATCAAGGCATGATGAAGGATTGAAATGCATATATGAGATTGTTTTGTAACTGGAAATCAATTCCAAGTTACCAATAAAAATGTAAATGTAGGGATTCCCTTGTATCCAACACAGCGAAGAAAATACCAACATGTCAAAGTAATCGTTATCCAATCTCAAATTCAATAAAATTAAGTCAACATATGATCAAAAGGAAAAAAATACACGAGACTCATGAATAATACGACCAAGAGTTCTGGGTTAGTAAGCGTCTTCTGCTTCATCGACGGATCCCGCCATGTAAATCAAGACAAGACTAAGATTTAAAAGGGTTAAAATTTATATATGAAAAGGGAGACAAGATTACATCGTGGTAGTAATAAAACAGTTAAAAATGATTGCTGCTGTATTCTTCGATAAACTGAGAAAATCTGGTGACTTTTATGTGTTAGAAAAAATAGATGTTCAAAGAAAGATAAAGACTAAAATATATATTGATCAAACTGATTAACGTATAGAACTAAGTTTAATTATTTCATATATCATAAATTTTGAAATAAACATTGACTTGTGAGATATGAAGCTGGACATGTTTGATGTTCGTTAGTCTTGCCTGTTGGTTCCGGTGTTGAATATCTTGTTCTCATTTGAGAACTTGACATTGGATTGACCAAAATTTACATGGCGGGTGCCATGATAAAGGAGAATAAGCTAACGATTCCGGAACACATGGTCTTATTCTCCTGGTACTTTTCAGAATTCTCTGTATGTTGCCCTAGTTTTATTGAATTGGAGTTTGGATTCCGACTGAATTAACATGTTGGTATTTTGTATAACGCATTGTAAATACTGACAGTTGATTACTTTTTCTTTCCTATACCGCCATGTTCATATACAGCAATGATACTTCACCTAGATTCATACTGGTTTGTTGATATGGTAATGATTATGCTAAGAGTATCGATGTTTATTTTCTCTGTTTCAAACATAAATTGCCATTCGAATGATATTGAAATGAGTTGATGGCAGGTAACATTTGAATCAGATTAGGTGCAATAAGGTTGGTCTCTTTAACACTAAGGGAGGCTGATATGTGAGAGGAAGAGAAGTTGAATGACATTTAGACTGAAATGTTTTGAACTGTTTAGGTGTATCACCGTTTGTTAATTCAAGGATATTAATACGTATTATCTGGATATTAATAAATAAATAAGATACTCTACCGTAAATTGTACTAATGTACCGAGAGGGAGGAACTAAGTCTATACTAAGGCATCTCATCTTATTGTTACTATACTTATTGGTTTGCTCTGTTCCTCTACATGATTGTACGATGATGTACTAATACCGAGACTCGGGATTCTCCACTATAGATATCGAGTTATAAGATGTCTCTGACTTTGTAATGAACGAAAGTAATCTGAACTCCTTTCAGTAACCGGTGATTTAAGCTGCTATTTCCTTCAAGGCCTCTTGCTTCTCATCCATTGCAATCTCGTATCATTAAATCATATTATGGTATGGTTGGTCGTTTACACGAAACATCAGAACATTTGGATAATTTTCTGTTGTGATAAGGTGAATGTAGACATAAACTCTCAATATAAAAATCGAATCTTAGTGATTGCCTTACTTAATTAATAAGATTTTAATTTGCATTTCGATATTATGTTAATGTCCTTACATTTATTTTTTCCACGTACCAGGGCAAAAGGAATCTATGTCTGCTGTTTCTCGGGATAGCAGTGACAGCTGCAGGGGCAGCAATGTGTGCGCTGTCCAAACGGCCAGTATAACTTATAGTCCTACATCCTCAATAACCAGTGCAATATGTTGGGCAAGTGTTAGTAGTCCCAATATCAAATTACTCGTACCGGAGAACTCTAGGACATTATTAACATTCCAATTTTTACTATAATTATCCTCTTCAGGACTAGTTTTCAAAATGGCCAGTCACAACTCGTAATGCTTGGACCAATGTTCTCGGCAGTGTGTTCTGTCTTTCAGATAAATGAACGTATGTGATAGACCTTTGTCTCTAGATACGGCTGTGATGTGTTAGATATTCATATTTTGTCTGCAACGATGATTTAAGTGCTTTATGAGTTATTCAAAAATTACAAAATTCATATTTCACTTAAAGTCGTTTGATACATATAACTTTGGTAACTACAATATATAATAAATTTTGATAATAAAAAAAAAATAAATAAAAAAATAAAAATAAATAAATAAAATGATAATAATCAAAAGTAATGTCACGATATGAACATTTCAGTGTGAATGAAGATCTATTGATTTATGTACTGATTCGGATGGCATCTGTATTTTGGAAATTGAACTTTTTCATGACAAAATTAAAAGTTTCTGTTTTGTGCTTTACAATAAATAGATCATGAGAGAAGGAGAGATGACACCGAATTAAGACCCGAAACTCATACTCATATTCCTTGCAATATTTTGTACATTTTTAAAAGTAAAAGTTGTGTTTTAATGAAAAATGTGAGACGTTCCATTGAATGTAAAATTCTATGTATTTCATGTATTTTATTGGGTCCATCAGGAAGGCTGGTTAGTTGTAACCAGTGATTAGTGAAAATGTTCAAACATGAATTAAACAAAAATTGGAAACATTATTATTTCATAGCTGTATCGTTGTAGAGACAGGTAATATATGTTGAGTTTTCTTCATTTAACACTGTTAGTTCAGTTTGAATTTTTTACTAACCACTGGCTGACTTTAACTTTTGAGCAACCTGGGCCATGACTCTATTTGTGTTTTACTTAATGCGTATGCATTTTTAAAACTTGTCTTGTGTTTTAAGAATCCTATCAGGTCTTCTATTATTTTTGAAATGTTGAAGTGTTTATTCTCAATCTTAGGCTGACATTTTTTCGAATTTGTAGATAGCGGATTTTACTAGTCCCGTTTTCATTATAATTTTTTTGACATAGGAGCATGCATGATGCTTGTGTGGTATACTGTTATGTTTTATTGACTTAAAGTGTTTTAATTAGTTTATGAGTCTTTGAGCAATTTATACATGAAATCTGACCATGCCAGTACTGCTATATTTTAAAAAATGTGATAATGTTTTATTGGTGCTTCAAGAATATTTTAATTCTAGATGTTTGATGAAGATATGAAATGTGAATTTGATATCGTTTTGTGTTGGCTAAGTATGTAAAATTATTTCTTGGATCTCATGGGCATGGAGACTACAACATGTAATGTCCGTATAGCTCACTACCCATGACATGCGTTATTTCACGGGAATCTAAGAAACGGACAAGTCCCTTCTTTCATTGTTGGGTCCTTTTGAACGACATACTACTCCATCTTAACTGGATAGCATGCGTCGTATCTCCCGTATATAGTTATGTGAGGTAGCAACCAGCTACTAAAGGAAACTCAGAATGATCATAATTGTTCAAGGAGTAATGAGTCCAGAAAGGAAACAAAACGCTAGTGTGTGATGAGAGTACTGTGTATGTATTTATGAGGGTCTGTATCTATTTGTTTTATTGAGTCGTTTGATTGAAGGATGATGATATGGCAGGATTCTTATGAAGACAGCGTATGTGATTGGATTTTTGTTTTGTTATTTTTTAAGGTTCCTCTCTAAATTAAGGGAAATAAAACAAACAAGATTCTTGAAACTTTTTTTATTATTATTTTTCTACAGATGTATAAATACATAATGGATAATTGCATATGTAGGTAAATGAGCACTTATTCGAAAAAAATGCACTTGTATAATGCATGATGGCATTGGGCAGATACTTATCCTTAAACACAGGACCAATAAAACGATATACAACAGTCCTTGGTACATATAGGGCGCCGTCCGAACCTTTGATCTTTCCCAGATATAAATATTGAGTTTTACATCGTAATAGAGATAAAAGGTCTGTTTAGAATGTACAGATTGAAAGATATCGTTTTGTTTGTTGAGACTTACCAGGATCTATCGAGTGATTTTGTTAAGTGCCAGATCTAATCTTTGAAGACTTGAAAATATTCGTTTTACTCCTCCACTTCCGAGGACCGGATTAGCAAATTGTATATGATTTTTTTTCTTTCAAGGATTTGTACTATCTGAAGACTGAAGGGAAGTTCTACTGCGTAACTCGTGCACCTCCTCATCTAGCGTTTGGTATTTCTTTCGATGATATTTGGGTCCTTTGTACATTTAGTATCACTGACGAGCCCTAAAAGGGTGAATCAGCTGTATGACGCAGCTTAATTCAACTGTATGCAAACAGACTGATGTGTTCCAGAGGATGACGATATCAAGAGGTTCCGCCAAAATACCACGACAGACATTGGAGTACATATATATATACACATATCCTCCAATGAAGTATCAGCAGCTTATTTCGCTTATTTGTATTAATAGCTATAGGAAAAAGACAAATATTAAGTGCGGATAATAAGTGACCAAATATTAAGAGTAACCATTAAACACTCTCAACGAAATCGAAAACCGGACCCACAGAACAAGGTCTCCAAGCTTCAGATTTTCCTATGTGTTCTGGCTGAAATCCAATGAAAGATTTTTTCCGATGGAGAATTAAGAAAATATTCTCTTTGCGTTATTTCACAATCGCAATGAAATTTGTAAATTGTTTGAGTAAACACCCCGAATAAACACTTAATTTTGAATCAATTCCCAATTACGTACATACCAATAGTATTAAAGACACGACATCGATATCAAAGTTAAAATTGCATACCTTATAACATGGTCGATAATAAGACAATTCAGTGAAAATACATACGTGTACAGTTGAATATAACAAGTAAACATGAAGAGGTCAAGGTTAAAAAGGTCCTTTCGTCTTGTTTTTAGTATATAAAAAGAATTCGAAAATTTGAAACGCTCAGAATCTCCATACATCGCATTGTGTTGTAGTTTTCCCTATGAAAGTGGAATATGGCACATTTTGAATCTGATACAGAAACTCCAAATTAACACCTCGTGATGGTTTGTTCATGACAATATAAAATCGTCTTTCAATTTTTATTCTTCGGTTATTTGAAATCGAGAATCAAGATTCAGTTTATCAATTCTGTCACATGATAAATTGCTCACCTTTGTGGAAAATGACTTAATTTACAGTGTTATTGTCCAACCGCATTTTTATATGAGGTAATTTACTTGTGTATCATATTGAATACAAACTTTTAATAACTTCACGAGTGAAAATGAAAGAAATGAACGCATCAAATAAAACTGTATTCTCTCTTAGATTTTGACCGTAATTTTTTATTTTATCTGATGAGCGTAATAATGTTTACATCAAAAATTGCGAGTAGAGACATTGTTAATTTTAAGACACAAAACGAAAAATTTAGGCCAATAACGAAGACATGACACATATATACCAGTCGATAATCATAAAGTTCAATAACTCATTTGCATATTCCCTGATACAAGAATGAACTACTGTCTTCCACTATGGGCAAGATAATTGAACTCTGACCTTTGCCTTGGTGTTATGGAACTCTCTTATTTCGTATTCCTTCCTCACCATAGACGCCAGCCCGTCTTTATCCCTTTGAGGAATCCGGGCGAAGCCAATGAACAATAGAAAGTTGGTGACAAGAACGGGAATAAGGACAGCTAATACAAAAACACCCGAAACTGCACAAAGGCAGCCGATGATTTTACCCGCCATATTCCCAGGATGCATGTCGCCATAACCAACGGTAGTCATGGTGATTATCGCCCACCAAATTGCGTCTGGTATCGATGGGAATTGATCACGGTCGAGGTAAAATACAGAGGTGGAAAAGATGAGTGCCGCCACCATCAAGAGGAAGACCATTAACATCATATTGGCGAAACTGGCTTTTACGGAATACACAAGTACACGAAACCCTATGAAATTTTTGATCAAACGAAATAGTCGGAAAACACGAGCGATTTGTATACATTCTATAATATCAAGCAGAGAAAAACTTGTAAATCTTTCCTTTGGAAAAATGGTTTCAAATATCATGATAAGACATTCGGACGATAGAGCAACAATATCTACAATATTCAAAATAGATTTAAAGAAACGTCTCTTAACAGGACAAAAGAGGAGCCGGAGTCCAAACTCAAGTGAAAAGTAGGTCACCATGACATAGTCTACGAGGTCCAGGAAATGGTACCGAGAATGCAAATTCGTTGGCAAGGATTTATTAAAACTTGTTGCTTGGTCACTCAATAATGTGTCGTTCTGAATACAGTCTGCGTCATTGCCTTCGCGTTTCCCTCGAACCGGAGGTTGCTCATTTCTTAAAGTTTCTGGAGATTGAGATTCACTGCCACCTTTATCGTCGAGAACTTGATTTGCAGGTTTGTTCGAAATTCCAGATTTTCCTGGTTGGAGTGTCGGCTTGGCAATGGGTGCTTTCTTGTTTTCGAACATTTCGTCAAATTTTCCCGGCTCGCTCTTGTAATATTCTTTCCACTCGGAAATTTCCAGTTCTCTCTGGAAAGCAGGATGTGTACTAGCACACAGCACAAATATTGAAATTACGATGAAACATGCTGAGATGCCAACATAGACCTACAACATATAAAAGGAAAAAATGTGTACATTCAAAACAATACAGAAATAATATTATAGGGGTTTGTTAATCTGTATATATTCACTGTTTTTACCACATCATCCACTTGTTGCAATAACCTAGACAGTAGAGTACCGCAGTTTTGCAATTTCAGATGAAGGTCCGCTTCATAATATGCAGCATGTTGAAGGAACGAAAACATGACAAACGATCCACTTCCTCGCCTGTTTAAGAAGATTTGCATATCACATGTGTAGGTGAAAGATTCTTTTTACCCTGGTATGCAGTTAGTCTTTATAAGCATGTGTTATTTCATTTAATCATTAAACATTAATATAAATACAATCCTAAATATTCCCTTGTCTTTTTATCTGGACACTTGTATCATCACCAGCTGGAAGAACTTCATAAAAATAAAAAAATTAATTGTCTGAACGATTAATGTTATATTTTATCATATAATAAGCCAGCTATCCAGTGAATCATCCCATGTTATAATTGTTTGTATATGACACTAGTGAAATATACCCTGGGACGTATATCATTGGCTGTATCAGTAATCGTTTATGATGTCATAATATGGACAATGGCGTTACGTCATATGTTGAAAATAACAAAACAAATTACTGCAATCGTTTTATTTTGTCATCCACATTTTGATTTTTAAACCTGGCAAAATGTCATTTTTTCTGAATGATGTGATTGAAAGTATCCTGTTTTCATTTCATATGATATTTCATGAAACCTTAAAAAAGTTTCAATTGTTTTGCTAGTCCAGGCCCAACGAATTAAAACAATGATCTTAGACTCGTTTCATACAATTCAATGTGAAATGAAAATCATTTGATATCCTATTTCTATATAGAGATATATCGGAATTGCAATGCAAAGCTTTTTCATAAAATTATATCTATGTGATTAAAAATGTATTTATACAATCCTGAGATACCTTAGAGTTAACAGAAAGACAAGGTGACAATATCAACTATATGTATATGCATTTGTCTTTTCATGAAACCGAATTGCCTTGTTGGCCACAATAACTGTCCAGTCATTGGACCCCAGAATATGTTACAGTAAAATCGCTTAATTTGGTGGGTTTTTTTTTTTTTTTTTTAAAAAGAAAATTGTTGAATTCCACGGTGCTCTTAATTCATGTACACGAAAAACCTAGATAAAAGTTGACAAGGATTATTTTACAAGGTCGTGATCAAGATTTGACCACGATAAAAGTGTCATCGAAAACATATTCTTGAAAATCCATGAAATTCGAATCCCACGAAAATTTGAAATTTTACAGTATCCATGTCTGGTGCTTTACTGGGTGAGAATGAGAAGTTTTGTATTACACACAACAGCATATTGAATTATCCGTACAAAATAATGATAAATTTCAAGGCTCACGATATCTTAAAAGAGAAACGAAAAAATTCATAACTCTTTTTGGTGTAATATTTTATTTCAACTTTCACTTTTTTATTTGGGATCTAACGACATTATATACCACACAATTACCACGATATGGCTTCAGAAAAAAATTGTCTGGTGTAATGCCCTGCCAGTTCTTGTGTACCACAATGAAACAACACGGCTGGTTAACTTCCTATCTGACTGCAACAAGTCAGATTCATAACATAGTAGACTGCAGGTTTGCACTCATCTTATTTCTTTTAATACATTGCGACGAAGTACCAAACACCAGCAGTTTATATTTAATTACGGTAGCACTGTTCACAGAGAACTATCTAATTATTTCCAGCGGTTTTGCTGTAACAACACTCACGGCATTAAACGATACGTTACATTAACCACAGACAATAGAATGGCGTACACAAACACATACACAGAATAGATCTCCTCTTCGCACGGACGATTCCGCCGAACAGAAGGACATGTGTGATCACGTGTAAGGGCTCTATTAGATCAAGGTTACAAATAATTTGTCAAACAGATCACTTTGTAAACGTTAGCCGAGAAAATAATGACTTGTTTTGCAAAGGTCATCTGTCATTGACATCCGCCTGGCGACGATTTGGATGAGTCTGTCAATAAGTTAAGGACGCTGCTATGGTGGCGTAGTCTTCAACAACACAACAACGAGGGTGACTCAAGTACCAAATTTACCGTCAAAAATGCCCTATTCCTACGTACAGATGTAAAGAAATTTCGCTTGGTTGGTTGGTTTACAAAGAAAGCCGTCTCCGTGACTCCTCACGAGTCCGGGTATCTTCTCACCGACGAACGACAGTGTTATGCCGAGGTCAGAAATTTTGGTCTATAATGTTCATGTTCATGGATTAAATAAAAAGGATGATTACGGTAAATATTCTTATTTTTCGATGGTTCTAGTCACTAAAACATTGAAATAAAATTGTAGGCAACTTCACATACCTTTTAAATATTTTTACCATCCTATAAAAAGTAATTTGAACCCTCGAAAATAAATTTTCTGTGGCATGAATTCAAAAGTACCGATGTCTTGAAACACTAGGCATTATCATCGCTGATGTCCGTCTTTTAATAGGTAAGAGAGACCCTTTTTATATCGTTCTTGGACTATGGAGTTATCAGAGATAATTTAATTTGAAATCATGCATGTCTGATAATCTTTGAGCACATAATATCCCTTGTGCGAACAATTTTTTACGGTACAAATTGTTTAAAAATATTATCATTCCTGAGACGAGAATTACACACACATTGTGAAAACAGGAATCCAATGACGAAAACTGTCGAAACCCAATACATTGGTGTCACATATTTTTGGTGTATCCTCTGACAATCATCTATATTTTCTGGGCATATATACGGCGACAGCGATTTATTAAAAAATCTCGCCTAGATAATTATTTTGTCTTGTCTTGTTTTCTTCTAACTTCTTTTCTTTTACTTTTTCAAGATTTATATTGTCCATGGCTTAGAACGAACTGATGATAACGAAGATACACTTCGATGTCCAGAAACAAGAGATATATGTTAAGATTCCAAACTACAAGACTCATTCATTTTGTTTATCACAGTCTCAAGCCAACTTTGACAGTTTCAAACGACAGGGAAGCATTCGATGTTCCCCGGAAATGATTGTTCTGTTTTTATTTATTGTATTGATACAGAATGATAGCTTTCAGTAATGCTTCCAAAGGTAATATAGCGTATTAGTGGTAATTTTCACAATTTTCACAAATTATATCTAAACAAATCAAAATCGTCATCTGGACGTAACACGAAATCTAATATAAAGTGTCACCTTATTCACGGATGAAATTTTCGCGATAACGTTAATATATCGCTAAATAGCGAAAATATCACCTCCGCGATAATAATCAGTTATACTGTTACCAGGTTGTGTATGGCCATTTTATTGCTAGATTTCAAACTACAAGTCAATATACCCTCTCTTACTGTGAAGAATATCATACCCATGATCAATTTTCTTACAGAACGGGTCATTCAGGAGGTAATTGATAAACAGATCTGATGTTTCATATTAAAGTGTTCAGTTTGGAAGCCAAACAATGAAATTACAACGACATTACTATCTTACATCATATGCGGGCAGTGTTAAAGAGAACATTAGTTGAGTTGAAGTTGTGTTGAATAGCAAAGGATACTGTCTATAAATGTCAGGTTCCGTTAAGCTCAAAATTTTATTAGATAAGTGTTGTATTATACTAACTCTTGAGAATAGCAAACGATTTCATGGAGCCGAACTGTACGCGAGAAGCTGATAGTTAGCATAAGACAGATCAATTTCTCATAGATTTTACTTTTCCTTCACATGTCAAAAACGTATGTACCATGATTCAAATTAGTACACAGATGGGGTTATTTATATATGTGTATCTTTTTAAAGTCATGACTTCTTTGTTAGAAAGAAATACATTTATTCGAGGTAAACACTTTGAAGAAAGTAAAGCATTTCAAACAGAGATAAGATTGTGCAAAAAGACACACAAGTGAATAAAACCCTTTAATGCAAATTAAGAATTAGATACAAAGATAGACCAAAGCCAAACAATGAACTAAATAGCATGATACAGTCCTTCTAGGACTCGACAGTGATGCTAAGGGCCTAACATATAAAACCTAGGACAGAGAGGAAAATTAAAAAAATGATAGAAAAAATGTCAATTCATAGAATTGAAGGTGCACCTAATCAGCTATGATTAAATATAAGCTATTGTTGCCATCTGTGACGTAACACATACCACATTTTCAGTTTCCAAACACATTTTTCTGTAGACTGATCAACTGTAAATTAGTTTTTAGTTCGTATATAAAGTTAAAAACGTGGTAATGTTTTAGTGAAGTTGGCAAAATGTTCTTATTTGGAATAGTTGAAATCTTATTTTATAGATCTAGTTAATTTTTACAGAGATCAACCCATGTTTGGCCATTTTCTTAATTGAAGATTACCATTAACTGAAGATCTGTTAAGCGTGTTATCATTTTCTGGCGTTTATATGTTGACTTCTTAAACCCTGCATTATGTAAACAATTGCATACATCATTAACGAGTTTTAGAAAGACTAAACAGTCGTAAGATTCAGTCTTATTTATTTTTTGGCTCTACTTTATATTATTTGTTTTTTACAACCTTAGAATTAGTTTTTTGATGTCAATCATAAGTATCTCTCAATGTTGATTTTTAAGGGCAGCTTGACATTTGCCATGAACAAATTTATTCGATAGTCAGTAATCTTTGATGTTTAACCTGCACGAGAAAATATTGTAAAGCGTGAAGTTAATAATGTATTTCTGACATATTCCTCCTTCTTCTTCGATAATAAAATAGAAATATAAAAATGAATTCTCAAATGATAGAAATGTGCATTTCGGGAGAAGACATTTTTTTTTTTTTTAGAGAGAACGATTTTAGATTTTTTGCTGAATTTTGTTTTGGACGGACATACCTACCCACGCACGCACGGATTATATTAAGCAACTCTGTAGAACGCGTTTCCCGTGGAATAACCATAGATTATCGTTCGATTTTTCT